TTTTTTATGATTATTATCTATTTGAGTAGTCCATGTATTTAGTAATGATAAATGCATTTTTTAGACTTTAATTAATATCAAAAAATAAAGTTGACATTACTTTTAACACCTATGCTATGTGGATATTTATATTAGTAAATAATTAATAAAATTAATACATTTTTATATTTTTTATGTATATTAGTGATAAAAATATATTAAAAAAAGCTTTAACCCATGCCCTATATGTATAGAATAAAAAAATTGTTCAACAATTTTTTTTTTTTTTTGATTGTGGAGAATTAAGGGGGAAGGGGACCATTAGGCCTCGTTCGTTCAACAATTTAATTTATTTTATTCCATTAATTTTTTATAATTCATGATTTAGATAATTTAGGATTTAAGATTGATTAGATATTTTAGGGCTTAGATTTTTTGTTTTTATTTTTATTTTTATTTTTTGGTTTAGGTTCTGAGACATTAGGCTTTAGCTTTTTTAGAGTTAATTTTTTAGAAGGTTAGGTTTTAGATTTTATAGGATTAAGTGGATTTAGATTCCAGAATGTTAGGACTTTTAGGCCGCACCAGCACCAGCCACTACAACACCCTCCCAGTGTCTTCGATCTCCCCCCTGAATGACGCTGTCCTCCTCTATCCCCCGATCGTTCTTAACAGTTGAGTTTTAGAATTGAAAGTTGGACTCTTTTTATCTGTTTTTCATATCTGAAATTGAACAATAATTAATACACATTTCGGTTCAATATATTGCATGACATATTTTTTTAAAAATTATTATTTTTTATTTAAAATTAAAAACAGATAAATTTAATAATATAATCATATCATAATACAACAATTGATTAAATTAATTGTATTTATATTATATTTTTAATCACTAAATCAAAATATATCAAAAAATACGTTGAATTGAATTAAAAAGTGTACCAATCATTTTCCACTTAAATTACTTATATTTAAGATTTTAAATTTTTAGGCTCCATCAAAGCTTCGATCACCCATACGCCTATGATAGCATTAGTCACTGGAGCACGACTACCGTTATTGGCAAACTGCCAACAATGGTTTTTATTTCATTTATTTCATTTTTTTCTTTCTAACTTCTTTTTTATATTTTCAGATGTCTTCTTAAATAAAATATTATATAATTTAAATTATTAAATTAAAAACAATTTTTTTTAATATTGAGAACTATCATCTATCTAATAAAAATAAAAAAATTTTTATTATAATTTAAACTATAAAATAATAAATTTTTAAAATTTAAAAGAAAATTT